ATCTAATATGGGCGACATGAAAAAGGTGGAGCTGAGCAATCATGACTTCACTTAAAGCAACCTTTTCTATTTCCAAAACCCTGATGGACTCCCTGATTTTGGTTTGGGTCAGAAACTATAACCCAGCATCCTCCTCTGTCACACCAACCCTCTGCATGTCCTCCTTAAGTACATTCATGAATCTTCTCTGAGATCCTCCTCTTCTCTTCCTGCCCAGCACCTCCATCTTCATCCTTTTGTCCAGTATATCCACCCTCCACCCTCTGTACATGCTCGAGCCATCGCTGCCTCTCTGCTGTCTCTATGATGGATTCATTTCTGATCCTGCCTTTTTCTCATGGCCACTGTCTCCAAGCCATACATCACAGCAGGTGTCACTACCATCTTGTAAACCTTCCCTTTCATTCATTTCATTTAGCTTGTCCTGCCTACTTCCTTCATCTCCCTGATTACCCTTCTTTTTCTTCATTAGCCTCTTCCTTCGTATACTTTCTTGTATGTCCTCATTCCACCACTAAGTCTCCCTGCTCGCTTTCCTCTGTGTGGAGGATTCACCAAACGCCTTCTTGGCAGTTTCCCTCAGCAGTGCAGCTTCACTCTCCAGCTACCTGGTATCTGTTCCCTACAACACAGAACCTGAACTCGGTGCAACCTTCTTCCTTCTTTAACGTCAAGCATTCAGTCCTTGCCTTCAGCTGCTTCCTAGTCTTGATTTTTAAAGTAATACTACAGAATACCATCTAATGCTGGCTAGTCACATTCTTCCTTCTGTCTCCTTCACTTACATGCCCATTAAAGTCTCCTCCAATCACCCCTCTGTCCCCCCTTGGACACTTTTTACAAACGTTCATTAGATCGATGTAAGAAGTGCGTTTTTCTGATGTCACCTAATCAAATGTAGTTCAGTTTCATTGTGGCAATTATAATTTGCCCTGTCGTTTATTCACTTAGATGTTAGATCTGCAGTGATATTATACTTTTTACAGTTAGTAAAGTCCACATAAAAATAACGGAGGTGGCCAGAACATTTCATTTTAATTTACAGTCCCAGATTATAATGAAGACTTCAGCTGACCTGCACAGGAAGAACAACAGCAGAGCACCATCAGGTGAATGTCACCTGTCAACGTTCCTGCATGCTGATATTATTCTGATACTAATCTGTCAATCAGTGAACACCAACCTCACCCAAACTTTCACACTCCGTGGAGTGTACAGCGTTTTTTGTTTTCCAATGATTTACATATTTCAGTTCCTGTTTTCCTTTCAAATTTACACAGCAGAGAATTTTTAATAATAGTCTAACTCAGACCTTCCCAAAGGGTGTGTGGGTGTGGGGGGGGGGGCAGAAAAAACAAACGCTTGAACACTGCTAGCACAGTGCGCCCACAGAAATGCAAAGCAGGAGATGAAGCATCGCTGAATGAATATATCTAAGCCAAAGACTGGAAAATATGGTGAAGCAAACCTTCCCTTTGGCTTCACCTGCACAAGTGCCGAGGTAGGTCTCCTGCAGAACTGGTTTTCCCTGCGTCGAGAGCAGCGCTGGGCTGTTTAAACCACGGACAAACAGGATCCCACAGCTGTTCATGCCCATATGGAAAAGAAATAGTAAAAACATACATGATTTACTCATGAAAGTGGCCACTTTCTCATTACTTTCATATGTTTTTTTAGTAAGTATACAAAACATACAAGTTTCATTGTATAATTTTTCAAGGGATCTTATATGTGGTTTCACTCTTGTATTCTTTTCATACAAGTTTCATACAACTTTATAAACTTTATAAGATTTATATATATCTTTTCCATATGGGTGTTTTTGGACCCACTTTGCACAGAGAGGCATTTTTTGAAAAATGCATTGATAGCAACGTTGAATATTATTACACGTACAGTAAAATAATCACACCGTGACGCCTCTGCCTTTCTAAATGGAGGGACAGTAACTGCGTGTAAAACCTGCAGACAGTCAGATTAACAGTATTTTGTCTCTATCTGCCATTCTGCAGTTCATCTCATGTAAACAATAACGCGGCGCACAGCGTGTCGTGAATAAAGGCACATACCTTTGACGCTGCGTGACGAACTCTGTATTCCTCGTCCACACGTAAACGCAAAAAAGGAGTTTTAAAAAATCTCCGTTTTCAGTTTCTTTGTTATTCTCATTTAAAATTTCCAGCGTTTATTAAAGAATTATCTGAATCTTACAACAAACGATTGATAGATTGATGCATATATACCACGAAAACATTGTATGTCACTGTCACAACAGCGTTTGTTTTCATTCAAAGGCTTTATGGTTTTTCCTATAATGGTGGTCGGTCTCTAGTCAAAATGCCCGGGCTGATTTTTTTGTCCCAGTCCAGCCCTGTATGCAGCTCATCTGCAGCATGGTGTTACCTACGTCCTCCTACTCAGAAGGCAGCAGTTCCTGGTTAGGTTTTGTATCATGATTGTAATTTAGGAGTGTTTACTATTTGTATACTTGAACACTGCTTGTTCTGGTGTCCATGTGGCTCAGAAATCGCAAAAGCTGATAGAAAGCACAAAAACAGCAACATTTTGGTCCTGAGTGGCCGACCTCCGCATCACCTCTGAGGTCTTCCTCTTGTCCTCCTGCCTGGCAGCTCCATCTTTATCATCTTTTATCAAGTTAACCACCCTCCCTCCTCTACACATGCTCAATCCATCCCAGCCTGTTTGATTCTCAATTGTCCCACTGATGGAGGAATTTCCATCCCACTCACTGCCAGTGAACATCTTAACATCTTTAGCTTGACCTCCACAACTCCAGTGCTTCACAACAGGTCTCACTGCCATCTTCAAACCTTCCCTCTTGCTGCTCTCCTTCTGTCACAGATAACCTCTGATACTTCACCCTCAGTCTAAAACTTCAGGCTGAATTCTCTCAGGTGTGTAAAACAGGCAGGTGTAACATTAAAACACAGACAAAGTCAAATTCCTCTGATGTTGTAAAATTAACAAATGGTCTGTGGCCGCACCACCCAGCTCCACAGAATTATCCACAAGTGCTCCGATCTCCTCCAGCTGCTCATCACTGATGCATCCAACCTTGTAGAGTAAGAGTTTAACAGAATCTCTCTCATTAAAGAAGCCAAACACTGCATGTGCACAAATCCACCAGTAGGGGGCGCTGAAAGCTGTCTTTTCACACTGCACACGATTCAGTTTGTGTTATTTCCCACCGGACAAAGACGGTGTTGGCTTTTTAGTTTTTCCCAACATTTACTAACTTTCTCCCACATCGTTGTTTACATAGTAATCAAATAAAATACTAAAACTGACAGAAAATTAAACCTGCTCCGTGTTATTTTCATGTGCGTGATCGTAACGAAGTGTAATTTGACTCTTTTTCATGCCCTGCAGTCAGCTGCTGATGTTGGGCCTATGTGTGTTTGAGTTGTATTTATTTACAATAAATAATGCTCAGCTGTATACTGTCTCAACAGCTTTCCAAGGCTTTCCGAAGATCAGTTAGAATTTCCCAAATATGGGATAAATCTAGGCTTTGATCTTTTTTCATGTTATCTGGATATTTGTGTGAAACTTTTTATTGTGTGTTTATGTTTTATGTTCATTGTCCAAAGACAGTCGTAACCCGATGGTCATGGCCCTGGGTCTGGTGACCAAGTGTTATGTTTTTGATTATTAACATCCTTTGATTTACTGTTAGTCATGGTTCTGTTCCTTCTGAGTGTGTCATGTCCCTTATGTAGGTTGAATTCTGTCTCCATGTTTATTTATTCGTTTCCCAGTTACATCTCATGCTCCCTCTGTTTGTGAGTCTGTGGTTTCCTGTTTTCTTGTAATAGTTCTGTGTGCTGTGTTAGTGTATTCTGTTTTCCATCGTTACCCTTGGTGTATATATTGTGTATGTTTTCCAAGGTTTTTGTAGTGGTCTGGTTATTATTTTGTGTTTAGGCATTCCTCTGTTTAGTTTGAGACTTATGTTTTTTCCCTTTCTTGTGGATCTGTCTTAATAAACGGCACGCCTTCAATTAAATCAGTTACTTTCTCTTATTTGGGTACTCATCCTTGTCGCTGCATGCTGTCTGCTTTAGCAGATGTGACGCTGATAACTGGTGTTCATTTTTTAAAATAAAACCCTTGTTGCTTCATTGCCCATGTCAGTCATGAAAAGGACATTTTTTAATCTCAGTGATATTTACACCAGAATAAAAAAATAACATTATAAAGTAGAACTTCAGCAGAATCAGTGAAAGAGCTTGCAACCATTCTCCAATAATCACTCACTTTACTGCCACCATAACAGATCCAATACCAGAGAGAGGTCAGTATGTGTGCTGCCCTTAAAGACAGTTCGGTTCTGTGAGCATTAAGTGCTTAACATTGGCCCAGGACATGAGGTAGGGATGGTCATTGTCTCTGTGTTCGAAAGAATCCACAAATATATTTCTCTAAATCTGATAAATATCCTACTGATCTGTTCAGTTTCAGAAAAACATGAAGTTTAAACTGCTGGGCTACATTTTTATGTTCAGTGCAAGATTTAGAGGATTTCTTCCAGTCCAGCCTGAATCTTGGGCTCCAGGTAGTCGTCCCTCAGAGGTACAGAAACACATTTCATTAATCTGCTTTTTCTTAAATGTCTATAGTTTCTCATAATGAGGTCAGTGTAAGGACAAGGCCCCACTAAATATAGACAAATGTAATTCCTTCATGTCATTTGATCTGTTCAGCTCACTGTGTTATGCTCATTAACTAAATCGGGATTACAGAGGTTGTGTAAATAAAACTTCCTCAGTGGAAGGAACTCAACTCAACTCTCCAGGCTGCACAGCGTGAGCCTGAATTCATCACAACAAATGTCTCATAGTGCACATAAATCATTTGCCTATTTAAAAAAAATTACTTTCATTGTAATCAGTAGAACCCCCTCCAATGATTGGATTGGATGATGGCACTGTACTGCCCTCTGGGATTTGAAGTCGACCTCTCTGTCGGAGGGTCATGATGTTTGCGCTGAAGATTCATCCAGGAGTATTTCATGTATGAATGCCTGTTTTCATTATCCAGAATATCATTACTGAGCTCTCTGTAGAAATCCAATGACGGCAGAATCAGATCAAAGATTGGCAGGCAAAGCTCTAAACCTGTAAAGTCTCAACATCGAAGCTTGTTCACATTCATCTGTGTCCATCACATCATGTGAATCAAGTTTGGGTTCCCTAAAGGCAGAGTTGGAGACAAAAGGCGAAGCTGAGGAGATGGAAGAAGACAAAGATGAAGGAGTGAGCAGGACGACCCTCGCTGCTGTCGAACACACTTTTCGAGTCAGTAGTAGTGGTAACCATTGTGGTGGTGTAGGTACTGCTGGTAGTGGTAGTGACGGAGACATTGGTGGGATTGGCGGAGTTGGCACTGGTGATATTCAAGGCTGGAGACAAGAGTGACTTGACCGTCTCAGACAGGAAGGAGTCAAAGGTGCTCAGTCTGGTGAAGGTCATGACTGAGCTTCGTCTTCTCCCGGCAGAGGAGCTTGGAGCTGTTAACACGACTGCCTGGAACCAAGAGCCGCCCTGCTTACACATCAGCGGCCCGCCAGAATCACCCTGAACAAACAGACAGGAAAGTTAGTGTTTCAGAGTTTGAGACACTCTGTTTACTAGAATGTGTGTAATGTAATGTGTATGTGTTAGTCCCCATAGGGAAATAGTTCCTCTGCATTTAACCCATTCACCCAGTGAAGCAGTGGGCAGCGACCAATGCACCGCCCGGGGAGCAGTGTGTAGGGACGGTACCTTCCTCAGGGGTACCTCAGGGTAGCCGTTCAGTGGAGTCGAACCCCCGACCTTCCGATCATGGGGCCACCACTCTACCTACTGAGCTATCCCTGCCCAGTGAAAACCTTGGACCAAGATTATATTAACTACCTATAACTAAACGACCAGATTCAACTAGGTGTTAAAAACATTTTAGACAGTTGTAACAACAACAACAATAATAATCAGAATACATTCACTCTAATAAGAAATTTAGGCTTAAAACAAACATACAAAGGCACTAAAGTGGCTGAAGCAAAAACTCGGGTGTGGGAGAAGTTTGGAGAGACGGAGAGTTCTTGACAGACGGATTGGTGCTGCAGCTGCAGTGATGCGGACGCTGCACCGGTCCGTCGTGGTGAAGAGGGAGCTGAGTGTAAAAGCGAAGCTCTCAATTTACCGGTCGATCTACGTCCCTACCCTCACCTATGGCCACGAGCTGTGGGTAGTGACCGAAAGAACGAGATCGCGGATACAAGCGGCAGAAATGAGCTTCCTCCGAAGGGTGGCTGGCCTCTCCCTTAGAGATAGGGTGAGAAGTTCGGCCATCCGGGAGGGGCTCAGAGTAGAGCAGCTGCTGCTCCACATCGAAAGGAGCCAGCTGAGGTGGTTCGGGCATCTGACAAGGATGCCCCCTGGGCGCCTCCTGGGGGAGGTGTTCCAGGCATGTCCCACCGGGAGGAGGCCCCGGGGCAGACCCAGGACACGCTGGAGAGATTATATCTCTCGGCTGGCCTGGGAACGCCTTGGTATTCCCCCGGACAAGCTGGAGGAGGTGGCTGGAGGGATGAAGAGGATGGCACTAAATTAAATTAGCCTTAAATCTAATTGGCCCATAATGAAGACTGAGATTTCAAAGCTGGAAATTCTTACATGTTTTAAAATGATAAGCATCTCTGGTTAAACTGAATGATTGATGAACTATCCAAATTCATCATCGTGAGCTTAGATAAGCAGCTAAATCCAAGGTCCAGAATAAACAACATGTCAGCAGACAGTGTTATAAGAAGAAGAATCCAGTCATTTACCTGCTGCAGTGCAAACACGTCTGTACAGATGCTCTCACTCGATGATGAGTTCCCACAGTTTACCACCGAGGTCTGAAACTGCTGCATAACTTCCTCAGCTAACATCATGAAAGATAAGAAAATCCTGATGTTTGACTAAAGAATCTGTAAGTGCAGTGGTCCACATGTGTAATCTGAGGGATGGACTGGTGCAGAGTCTGGGCAGAACTCTGTCAGCCTTCATGTTGCTGACTCACCACCTCCTCTTCCAGGACTCCAACCGGCCGCCCAGCACGCCAAGCCCTCGGCGAAGGTTCTCCCATTGTCCAAGCAGATGGGCTGGATGTAGTCGGTCAGGGTGGGCTGGGCAGATAGACGGAGGATGGCTATGTTGGTCCCGGTCGTGTTGCTCAGAGTGATATTTGTCACATTCAGCGTCACCTCAAAGGGGTTGGATCCATTTAGCTTCAGACGCCCCAACACGACAGTCCACTCGGACGCTACAGGGGAGCTGTGGGAGGAACGAAGCACACAAACATAAACTTCATCAGCTTCAAACAAGATCTACACCTTTACACTCAACTTCATGGGACCCAAGTTTTACAGACTTGAACCTGGTGACATTCAGGCCTGGTTCTAATTAAAGAGGTATATATTTAACTAGAAGACCCAGAGAGCTAATCAGTTAATGGTGAAGTTTTTCTCTTTGATTTAATTTGAAAAAAGTACAAAACACGTCACAGAAAATGTTGCTGATGAAAAAAACAATCTGAGTCGAAGCCTTGCTTTATCTTTATAGAGCTGCACATCAGGTTGCACTGTAAATGACAATGTACCCATGGACTAGTTTTAACACAGAATCAGCTTAAATGATAACCATGTGTTGGACTGATCAGCTACATGTGTGGAAAGTGTGGAAGTGTGGCACCATCAGGTGATGTGGGCTGGCACTGAGATCATCTGATCTGCTGGGACTGTGTTCAGTTTTCATTTTTAAAGACTCGCTCATTTCCTTAAAGGGATGGTTACATTTTCAGTCTTTTGGGCACAGTTTTCACTGGTGGATTAATCCACAATGGAATAAAGTTTGTTTACAAAATTTTGACTCAGTGGAAAGAGAGAGTGTTCAGTCTCAAAAAGATCTCCACCATGTTTTTTGACCACCATTGGTGGTTGTTCATCTGCATGTTTATGCTTTTAATTTAATTCTGTACCTTTACTTTAGATTTTTCATGTTGTAATCCAAACAGTGTTGAACAGCTGCAAACTAAACTTTTCTTCATGTTGTCTGTGAAGGTTCTCAGTCATCCAGGTCATCGTAGTCTAAGGAGCTTGGAAAGAAACATGTCTGGACTTCTTTAAGTTGCTTGAAGATCTCTCATCCGAGAAGCTTCTTCAGTTCTAAGGTCAAATGGTGGAAAGTCCCAGATTCAAATCCCGTGGGAGTGTCCCCCCCAGAGAGGGACAACAGGACCCCCTTTATCATGTTGGAGCTTGATGGTGATTTGATTCCTGCCAGTCTTGTCCCAGTAAAGGTTTTTAATAGTGATTATCAGAGCCAGCACTACCATTTTGGACGGTAGACAGATTTTTTAAATTCCACCTGAGCTAATCATCTTGGTATTGGCTCTGCCTCTTAGATCTTCGCTGTCAAATAGGGAAAATATGTTTCAACATAAAATGTAAATATGTGGTACAACTGGTCCGTGGTACAACTTTTGCTTGTGCTGTTGTTGGTCTGTCAGCCAGCTATGGAGAAGAATTCTAGACTACAAAGAGCTGAAGTGAAACTGAAGGTTTAAAACAATGAATAGTATCCACTGCAGCCGCTGTCTGTACCCTTTATGCTGCATTTTTTTTTCAAATCTTTAATGATTTTCTTGTGCCTCTTTTTGTGAACTCAACTGTCTCTTTGTCTCTTCCGGTTCTGGCCCACTTGTCAACTAATCAGCATTTGACCGATGCACAGTGTCATCAATGTCAACTGAACGTGAACACGACTGTGGTGGAGGGAAAGTCATGTCATTTACTCAGTCCCCAGAGGATGAACTGTATCATTGTCTGTCCAAACTTCAACTGACCTTGAGAAGCAGTTGGCGTTGCTCAACACTGAGTCCAAGGCCACCAGAGACCCATCACACACGTGCCTTCCATTCTTCTGTAGGCTCGCCATCCACGGCCACGAACCAGCCACCACTGAGGGTCCCCCCATGTTGCGAGAATTCCTTGGAGCTTGTCCACAGACCAGTGCTGAAAAAATAAACAGAGGAAGACACAAAGAAATTTTAAAAACTTAGACCACATGAACCCATCAGCTTGAGGTCAGGTAGGTTAGACCAAACCATTTTTAAATAAAGTGCTTTCATGATGGACACTCACAGTGGGGAGTGCTCGAAGGTCGCGTGGTTGTTGTAATGATGGCAGCTCTGTTGGTGGTTGTTGCAGGGACTGTGGTTGTTGTGGTGGGGATTGTGGTTGCAGGTGTGGTGGTGGTTGGAGGGGTGGTGGTGGTGGTTGAAGGTGTGGTGGTGGTTGGAGGGGTGGTGGTTGGCACTGGTGTCAGTCCTGTGCAGGAGACACTGAGGTCACTGTTGGTCCCAGTGGACGTGAACGTCATGAAGCCCGGCTGGTTGAAGGAGATCTGGCTGTTGATCCAGGTCTGGTACTGGGATACTCTGGCGTAGACTCCTGGAA